CAGAGGGCTCCGGCATAGTGTTTTTACAACGACCTTAGTAGATCGATGTGCTCAGCAAGAGCAAGGAGACGGTGCTGAGGGGACTGAGCAGCGCGCAGTTTACGCGCAAGGATAGAGATTTCCCCTATATTGATCTTACTCATAGTGTTAGACACTAGGCTTAGATTATCTACTATAGGGTCTGTCTGTTTTTGTGGGGCGGCAGAGGGCCGCGGGATATTTGTTGCCTTTGGGAACCAAGGGTTTATTGGAAGCGGCGCAGGCTTGGAGAGCGGAAGGCTCATAAGGGGCCGAGGAGAGCCCTGAGGTGGCCGATAGGGGCCCTGAGGGGGCCGATAGATGCCCTGTGTGGGCTGAGATGAGCCCTGATGGGGCTGTGGTAGGGGCAGGCCCTGACGGGGCCCCGCGGGCATGCGGCTTCCAAGAGCCGGGAAAGTTCGGTCATTGACCTGAGGTGGAGCTTTGTAGCTCAGAAGTGGGCGAGGAGCGCGAGGGCAGCCTCTAAAGTTGGCCGGGTGGCCTGTTTGTCCGCATAGGACACATGCGGGTGGGGATTCGGCATTTTTGGGCCGAGGGCACTCTTCCGAGTGATGGGTTTCTAGGCACTTAACGGACCTGGGTGGGGCTGAGCAGTTGGCTGCCGCGTGCCCATAAAGTTGGCAGCGGTGGCACTGCGCTGGGTAACCGCGCCGGTGTGAGGCTTCGACCCTTACACGCAACAGGCCGCACACAGTGCGTACCTCGTGGAAGATGGCCTTCGCCTCCGGCACGTTTGAGAGTACGAGTAGGGCGAGGTTGAACCTCTCGCCCCTGCTGCTGTGCATCTTGTGCACAGCCTCGACAGGGAAGCCCTGGAACTTTAAATCATCTAAGATGTCCTCGTTTGCGACTTCGTGAGGAACTCCGCGGAGGACTGCTTTTATTTTTCTTTCTTCCGCGATAGCGTACGTGTGATAGGACACGCGCTCGGCCGTGAAGTGACGAGTGATGTTCCGGAAGTCTTCTATAGACGCCGGCATGATTTTGATGGCCTCGCCGACATTGGTGGTTTGGTCATATTTGAAATTCTTTTCGTAGAGGATTTTTGACAGTGTGGTGAATTTCTCCTTGTCTCTGAGAAAGACAGGGACGGGACTTAGTTTTTAGCCAATTTGGGAGCGCAGCGGTTTGCTGGCTTGGCGGTAGTGTCTTGCGACTGAGAGGGGGCAGCGTAGGTAGGAGCAACGATGGAAGCTGCGGAGGTTGTGGCAGCGGGGGGGGGGGGAGCGCGGGCGGCGGCGGTAGCCGCCGGGCGGGGGGAGTGCGGGAAGTCGCGGCGCGCTTCGGGCCGCGCTTGGATTTCACTAGCGTGAATTGGGCTGAATCGGTGACCGTTCGGAGTCGGATGAGTCCGAGGAGCCGGTGGAGCTGTGGGCGGTCCTCTTCCGAGAGGAGAAGGTAAGGGACGTGGTGTCCGACTGCTCCATATCGGAGTCAGGGGACGCGGGCGAGTCGGTCTGCGGGGCAGCCGCTTGGGTCGCGAGGACAGCCGCGACGGCGGGCGCAGGGTCGCATGCCTTAGGGGCAGGGGGAGCGAAGAAATTACAGACTTGGCTGATGGTGTTCACGTCGACATCGTAGGCTATGCCTTGGGAAGTACTGAGCGATCGCGGCCGAAATGGCGCTTGCAAGACCATGTTTCATGTCAGGGGCTGACGTTTATTCAGGGAAGCACTTGCTCCGAGAAGAACGACGCCTTGTCCTCAAAAGGACAAGGAACATTTTTCCAGAACACTCACAATATGCAGTTAACAAATTATAATAATAAACAATAACGGAAAAATAACAAAAAAAAATATTAACAGAATAGTAACAGTGGAACAATAAAGGCACAGCGCGCTCAGACCTCCTCGCCGAAGCGAGGGGGCAAGAACGGTGCGAAAAAACAAGTGACTCACCTACGGCGACTGCACGGCCGGTGTGAGCCGGGGAGAGCGCGGCGCGCGGGCGAGAGGTTGCACTACCGCACGAGGACGAAGCGCGGACTGTATGCAGTATGCACTACCACTTGGGAGGGGTGCGCAAACGGAACTGCTTGTGGGGCTAACATTTCGTAGTTATATATCATTAGAAAACATTTAGCCACAGGTTAGAAAGGGAGCGATCGCCTTCTCGAACGCCCGGTAAAAAGCCCACGCGTGCGAGGGAGAAAACCAATCGCACAATTCAACTCTCCTTATGTGTATGACAGCAGTATTCGTAAGGCTACGAGGTCGAACTGAGTGCGCGGGAAATTTGTAATAGTTCGAAACAGTTTACGAGTTATTTTATTACTTGATATAATTGATTGATTCATCTTAATGAGGCAAGCCGGGCTTCTGGGCTTGTATAGGCTTCGCCACTGCCTACACGCCCACAAAGTTTGTCTAACCCTCCACGAAACAGTCTGTATAATATTTTGAATAAAACTAGCATACATTTGCGTGAAGAGTTTATTTTTGGCCCATTTTTAACAACAATATATTTTTGAAAATTGGAAAACAAGATACAGTTTTAAATAAGAGAATATGTGACTATTTTCACCTTTAAATTTATTCAGCACCGTCATTGTTGTAATAATTCTTGGCTTTTCTTCATATCTGATCATCATAGAATGTCTAACAATTTAAAAGACGGTACAGTAAACATGGAGTTTAACATAAGACCACTGTGATGATAATATGCTAAATATATAATATTTAGTTCTTTCAGATTTATTGAAAATATTTCTCTTGTATACAATTCAAGAGCATGATTTATAGAATCTAATATCATTTTACAAAAACCTTGTATGATATGATAGCAATTTAATTTCTCCCCTGTCCTGAACAAAAGACTAGAAACAAAATAAGTAATGGTATAGGAAACTACTTCATGTATCTTTTTAGAAGACTGTTGAACATTTTTTTCTATGACATTGCTACTGGAATGCCAATGAAACCAGCTAAAAGATAAAATTGATATTAAATTATGTCTTCGAAGTTTTCCACAATATTATGACTTCTTTATTACGATATATTTTACATATTTTCGGAAGACCAAAATAATGTATATAGAGTAGTGCATAATACATCTCATCACATTAAACTAAGCAGGCATTAGATCAAGTTTTATCACAGATTGCAAATATTTGTAAAATTATTGCATCAAAAATGCTCCTACATAACAAATTAATATATTAATATTAAAACATTGTTTAGGTCTACTAATCTGGCAGTACCAAACGCTGGCCCTAATGACAGCTGACAAGCGTAAGACGTAATACTGATATTCATTAGGTTTTTTGTATACAAGCATTTTTTGAAATTCACAAGATTCAATACTTGCGGGGCCAGTCTGTTCCAATAGGTTATAGGACTTAACGATCTGTATCGTTAATTTGTAAACCAAGACTAAAATAAGCTCTGGCTAAAATTAGATTATTCCGACAAACTATATGAACCCCTGGCCGTCACGAAAGAATATTATAGTCAAGATCCTTTCCTTAGTATAATGGGCATAGACAATGGTAGTTTCGTTTCATAAATTATCAAAGCCCAAACTGACTACTTCAATGCTTACAACAGCGAGTACAGCATTGTTTTATTCTTATGCTCAGCTGTCATTAATTAAGGATTCATTTCATGTGCAATCGAGTGCAAATATTTAGTGCAACCAAAACAAGTAATATCAACAAAAATACAGAATCAAGCAGAAGGAGATGATTCTTTCATCATTATTTAAAATAACAATCTCTGCATATAGACGAACCTTGAAATACAATTTGTGATAAGACAATACTCCTCTGCAAATTGAAAACTGAGCAGGTAATATTTTGAAGCCTGTTGACAAAAAAAAGACCAAAGTCTGTAACTCTTCACATGACATCCCAATTGTTGTAACCCCAGAGAGTAAAAATAATTTAGTTGCATTATAATGGAAAATAAACACTCTCTATATGAATTCCCCGAGACAAAGCAATGCTCTGCATCTGCAAGCCGCAACAGAATCAGTACATTCCTCTGCCTTGTTAAATAGTCACAGGTAAAATATAAAAAAAAAATCAAAGCTGAGTGGGCAAAATCATAGGTAATAATCATCATCACTTGCATCTGCATTATTTTTAATATTTGATTTGTTTACCAATAAAAGATAAATAATATTAAAATAATTTTTGTTCCTCAAATATTGCCCACCAAAGCCCTGTCTTAAATAGTACACAATTTAAATGTACCAACACTGTGACATTAACCGCTTAGATAAAACAAAAATACAAATCTTTAAAACAGGTCAAGACAATATATCATATAATACCAATAACTAAATATAATAAATAAATCAAGTTTTTACACCTTTCAATTAACATTTAATTTGATTATTTTTATCTAAACTATTATCTTAACCTGGTCTTTATTAAAATACGGCTTGATATAAATAAACACTATCTCAAGCGGTCAGAGATAGCATTTTTGACACTGAATTATTATGCTTTAAGAATGTTGTTTGAGCTAGTCTCATTGTCTACCCATATTACAGAGAAACAATCAGTTGGTTTAGAAATTTTATGTGAAAAGAAACCAGTGCTAGCTCAAATCTTATAAATATGGGTAGGTTCAATTAACATACATGTGTTGGAAGTCTATCACAATTTATGTTAAGATTGTAGACAAATCTAGATAGACTCGCACATGCAGCTAGGGTTCAGATAAATATTTTACGTTTTAACAATGTAGGAAACCACACACAATATCCAATATGGATAAAGGGCGCGAGATGTCTTCCATAGTCCCGATGTTTATTTATATACACTTTTAAAAAAGTAACCCACCAGTGGGGTATCAAGTCTTATTTCACGATAAACTATTTACACGCACATTTTGTTACAATAAATTCATTACACTTTTTACAAATAAGTTTCTTGTTTTTGTTTTTTTACTAATTCTTTTCACCAGTCAGCAAGTCCAGATAGTTGTGTGCGAATGTTGACGCGCGACAGCATGGCGTTACTTTTCAGCCGAGTCGTCTTCGTCCGGGCGCGACACATATAGCGCCGGGTCGATTACCTTTGGTATAGGTTTAATCTCAGTACCCAGCTCCTGTTCAATGCGGTGAAGAGCAAAGCGATCTTCGTACGTTATTAGATTGATCGCAATACCCAAATGGCCGAACCGCCCAGAACGACCAATACGATGTAGATATGTCTCCGCCATGCGCGGGAAGTCGAAATTAATGACGACATTGACCGCTTGCACATCAATACCTCTGGTGAAGAGGTCAGAGCACACCAAGTTGCGGCAGAGTCCCGCACGGAAGTCGTGAAACACGCGATTGCGATGTGCTTGCGCCATACGCGCGTGAATGTAATAGCAGCAGTAGCCCAACTCTGTTATTTTCTTTGCCAGCAGCTCTACTCGCTGAGTGGAATTGCAGAAGATAATAGACTGGTTTATTTGTAACTGTAACAAAAGAAGTATCATTTGAGGTTTTATTTTTATAGTTTTAAACATAGTACTATTAATTATAAGTGTATAAGAATATGTAATGTTATTTATTATTTCGACTAATTTGAATTGAAATTCTTCCACTTCATTACATAATAATTTTTGAAGTTGGCTAAACTTCAAAAAACTAAATTCTCAATTTGAATGTATGTTGTTTATTTATGTTGTTACGCGATATGTTCCCTCAACCGAATATAAAAAACAAGAGGAAGTAGCAAAATGCATAATTTGTACCAGAACCACTGTCGCCAAACTCACATATTCGCAAGAAAAAAATGTGTACCGACAATTGTGCACCATTTCAATAGTTTTCGCGTGATTGGCTATTAAAAAATAAAAGGGAAAGGCATTATGTTACTCAAATGGTGAACTTGAATACGAACCATAAATTCTTGAAAATAGAGATCATATTTCCTTTTCATCAAGGAATTTTCTAGAATTAATTAGCAAATTTAGCTTCTTAACGTTAAATGTCACAGTAATACCGCGAAACCGCGATTATTTGAAAACGCACCATAAACTCTTATTTATATAGATATCATTATGTCTTAACCTCTTAACCCAAGAAGCTTTCAGGATTGATAAAAAAATTTTACTACATGACGCTAGATCTCGCAATAAGAAATTCACGCTATTATAGGCAAAAATTAAATAGGCATAACGTTTGTGATGTAGTTATTCTGACTGAGCGTGATATGACTTATCGATATTCAATCAATATTAAAGTTTAGGAAAATATGAAAATATCTTCGAAAGTGCCTTAATGGCACCTTAATTAGCCTTAATGCGGACTTCAAGAGCCAAATGACCTCGAAGAACGCGATCTAACGACAGTGAGGTTAAACTAACGAAGCGAGATTAGTGTGTTTTAATAGATAAAGCGCAAGATATTTTTTTTTTCTTATTTTGTATCGCATAATTGAATTTTCAAATAAAGCCAGGAAAAAAGTAATGTTACTTTGTTTATCATTCTCAATAGACTTTTGGAGACGGAACATGTTTGACAATGGCTCAAAGGCCCAGAAGCCATGCTAAGAGATATTAAAAACGTTTTACACGTTCCGTTTTAGACTACAAAAAATTGGAGCGTGGTCCTTGCCTGCTTGAGCCGACCCATTCGTGCTACAACTATACTACTAATATAACTGCGGCATGGCTCTACCACGTATAATAATATGTGGTTTATGAATCTTCAAAATAACCAATTTCTTTTTTTGTAACTAATTAATTTATGATTAGATCCGATTTTTAACGATTTTGTACTATGGTGTGGAAAGAAAAATAAGTGTACAGACCTTATCTGACAGCTGTTTTAAGGTCTTAGCCCACTTACACGACTCTGCTCCAACACCGCTCATACCCAATACCGCCCTTTACTAAGGCGACAGCTAGCTGGCACCCAGCAGTCCACGCGGCGACAGCTAGCAGGCAACCAGCTGTCCACACGCCGACCGCTTTCGCTTTTCGCGATAGACACAGTTCGTGGTCAGGTTCCATCATATTTTTGGTATGTCTCGATTCACAACGCGCGAACTAGCGATTATTTCTATTGGACTTGACGATGAAGATAGAAGCTTAAAAACAACAGACGAAGATTTTGGGTGCATAAAATGTTCAAGGCAAGACGCGCGGCGCGGCGACCGCTAGCAGTCAGCGCGTGGACGCCGCGCAGATAGCTTGCTTGCAACGCGTGTTCAACGAGGCGTCGACTACCGAGCATTCCTGACAGCGGTAAGCTGGCTGTCAGCGAGATGTCTACTAATTTATGTTGCCAATGTAATATATATCTAAAGAGTAATACTTAAAGCCCATATTTGAATTATATTATTTTTGCCGGGTGGGAGCGGAGTCGTGTAAGTGGGTTAAGACCTATAACCTTAAACTTTTATTTACTCAATAGCATTTGTACCTGGCACATAAATGAAAAGATGATAAGTTATTATGTTATTATAAACAATAATTGTTTTATACAACAGGTAGTTGTAGGTAGACGCGACCTGTTAAAGGAATTGAGTGACAGGTCATTCAATGTGTGATTTTTTTCTGTCGTATCAAATTAGTAGTATCATGTTTTCAACACAATAGTAAACTAGCATATATACAGTTTTGTTAACTGCAGTCTATCATACTTTGACGCATTATAAAACTTGCGTTTAGCACCTGTAGTCCCTTTAATGTACTATGTATATTCCCGATATTCATATAGGTGGCATATAATTAGTTGTCTTTAAGTTAAATTTATCAAGTGAATTATTGAAATGGAAGCAATGAGAATAATAAAAAAAACAATAATTTAACAATTGTTTGTCGTCATTAAAATAACACTAATTTAAAGTTTAATAATTGTTGTTTTCATACTTTTATATTAAATTTCAAAAGATAATGAATTCGGATACCAATATAGATTATGATATTAAGATCACTTTTATTTCCAAAAGTCATGAGTAATACTTAACTTTTTACTTACTTCTCTGGCTTAGCAAACCTAACAAAAATGTTAATTCAACTTACAATTTCGTATACTTTCATAGACATCCAGTACTTACACATTATCATTAATATGATAGTGGATAAACAGGACTGTCATAAAATTTTATCAGAAACTTTATTATCGCCGTAGTCACAACACTATCGTAGTAATTTTTATTCAAAATGTATTCAATAGATGATCCCTAAAACAATGACATATATATATATATATTTTTATATATATATATATATATATATATATATATATATATGGGCAATTTGATATTTTGTCCATATTTAATCCCGTTTCTATGCAAAAAAAGAAAAATAACACGCGCCTTTAGTACGAAACACCTCCTTTCGAATTATTTTTCTTTTTACTTTCGTTTTTATACTCCAATATTGCACAAAACGGCATATTTTCGCATATCTCACTAAGCAGCGACACGTTAGCTCACGATTAACAGTCAATTACGCTCTACTGTCCGTAATTAAGAGGCTTGCCCCGCCCACTTTGGGCTTCCTCTCGTTTTTTATATTCCGTGGCCCCCCCCCCCCCATATAGTGTGGAAAAATATGGAATGAGGCTTTTAATATCACGTCATATTTTCACGCCTTTCACTCAGGTAAGCCCCACAGCTATCTAGCTAGTTATGTAACCCATAGTTATCTAGCCTTAGGTAAACCATTCAATATTAAATAAAACCTTTAAAGAAATTATTTAAAACCCTTACTAAAATAGTCGTTGTTTTTACATTGTAAATAGGGTAAAACACCCGGTAGTCAGCCCTGTGCCAGTACTCAGCCTTTACAGACATTATTTCCATATAAATAGTGCTGATATTTGTCTACACCTTTAAAATAACGTTTAATTGAATCCATGTCTCCTTATTGGTTAATATGCACACCTACGAACCAATAGCTCATCAGGTTGGTGAGCTGTACTTGTTAATTTACACTGCTGTCAAAGACACGACTAGACGCATCGCTTTTGCAATTTTTTTCTTAAGGAAACGCGCTCGAGTATTCGTTAAGTTTTTGGGTGTATTTGCTGTAATTTATGGTAGATTCTTGTACTGTTTTACACTAAAATGATTATTCTGTCATAAAGTTAACTATTAAATGCATTTTATTTATTTGATATGTTGTAATTTAGGTGGCCGACTACCGGGTTTCGAATTTTTAGGGTAGATCCAGTACTCAGCCTTAAGTGGCTGACTACTGGTTTTTTCATGATTTTCTTATATGTGGTTGAGATTGCCGAAGCGAATAGTCCCAATTTTGCCCATTACTTTCGGTTTAACTCTTATGAGATGAAAAGTGTATTTTACCAGTAGTCGGCCGCGTACGAATGTAATTGCATATCGGGGGCCGACCAATGGGTCTACAAATGCAGTACTCAGCCGTTAGTCTTGTTGCATAAAATAGTACCTTAAAGCCTTTTAGTTTGGGTTGAATTTATGCACGGTTATTTTAGCGTGAATATCATTTTTTTAGAATTGTTTTAGAATTCCATAATGTCAAAAAGACCAATCCACCAATACAAAGAAGAGCAATTAATATAAGCTATGACTACGAAAAATAGTAAAATAGGAAGAAAAATACATGTACAATAAACAGAATAAGATGCAACAACTGTGAAGAAGAATTGACTAGCGATACAGAAATTAATGACTTAAAAATATTGGATGTGACAATTGCCTTGCATGGTATCATTTAAACTGTACTGAATTTGCTAGGGAAATATATGAAAATATATATAATAAAGAATTTTTATGTCAAATATGCAAGAATAAGTGAGAGGCTGACTACAGGGTAAGACATGGCTGACTTGTGGAGAAATGAGGCTGACTACTGGTGAAAAGTGCCATAATTTGTTTACTACTGATTTTTTATATAATTCTATTATAAATATACTTTTTTTGTTAATTTCTTTAGTAAATTTAATAAACAACTTTTCTAAAAATAATGATTGTTTTTGTTCATAGTGTTCAATATTTAAAATACAATTGAATCAAATTTTAGTTCTCACTAAAAGGCTGACTACTGGGTGTTTTACAATGCACATAAGTGTGATTTGTCTTAACGAGAACTCAATTTAATGTTTTTCATTATAAATATAGTGTGAAAAACTAAACACTTTTTTGGGTTTCTATTTACAAGCCCAATAAACTTTTATCATTTCATAATTCTCCCTGAAATTCGTCTTGTTAATTTGTCAAAACCTAACTTTTCAATGCATGGATTACTCAGCACAATGGCTACAAAGTAAGTGTAAAAAAAGTAAAAAGTGGAGTCCAAGTACATTGGGTGCGTTTGGCAGAAAAAAGTGCTAGCAAGCGCTTGTAAGCAAAATGGCGATCGTAATGGGTAAGCGCTGCCAAATCGTAAGGAGCTATTTTCCTCTAGGACACGATGTTAGTTTTAACCGGGGAACTTAACCTAATTTAAATATGTTTGTGAAGTATTCATATTAAAAACTTACCAATCATGAATTTTTAATAACATGTATATGTCTATTCATGTCATTATATTACTTAAAACTAATATTGCAAAAAACAACTTATAAACTCTACTTCAAAACAAACAAATTAAATAAGCAAAATGGCGGATTGTGTCAGCGCTACTGAAGTAGCAATCGTGTCCTGGCCGAAAACTATTTTAGCGCTAGTAAGCGCTTGCTAGCGCTTTTTTCTGCCAAACGCACCCATTTACAAGTTGCAATAACAGTACTAGCCAGTATTTGATGGATGGTAGAGACCACCACCACAGCCAAATCAACAATCAACTGTTCGGTAGTTTAATTGTACAGGAAATTGTATGGGATTTAGGTTAGATAAATTATATTGGATAGAACCTTAGAGTATACACATTTCTTAGGTATAGAGCCTATTTCTAGGAATGGCAAACAATAGCTATCCACTGGCGCACTTGCTAACCTAGCAATTAGGTTTCAGTAAAAATAAATAAAAATGTAACAGTACTATATCAATAATTTAGGTTTGAGTATTATTTCACTTTATATATAAGCTCAGAGTAGTCTACAGATAGATTAGTCATACAAATAAATTACAGAATGGCCTTAGAATGTAGAAGCAGGCAAGCACAATTATCTGTAACATTTAAAAATTTTATCAAATTAAGATGAAAAATTCAATTGAGAGCATATCTTCATCTATTGCGAACCGATTTTCAAGATTCTCTTTTTTATCAAATAATTCAAGGCTGGTCCCTATATTTGGAAAAACAAACTTCACCCATAAGGTTAACAAAATAGGGGATGGAGTATATAATGTAACTATTTTTTAATGTAGATATTGTGAAATTTCTTAGTTCACTCAAAATGGTAAAAAATAACTTAAACAAAAAATTTAAAGCCTGCTTCAAGCAACAAAAAAAAATATAATAATTTCACATTGTGAAGTTAGGGCTTCAATTCTTCTATGCACAATGTAACTTAGCGCCCACTTTGTAATGTGAAATGATAATATTCTTTTAAGGTCTTTGCAGTCTGCTTTTAAGTGTCACATTTTGAAAATAAGACTAGTCACAAAAATGTTTACTTACCTTTGAAAACAGAGTATTTAAACAATGTACTTTTTGTCGTTCTTGTACAAATGCATAATACTGTGTGACACCCTTAAGTGTAAGTTCCTCCATGAGGTTTATTTCATATGGTTCTCTTAAATGCTTTTCCATGAACTGCTTAACACTCAATGGGAAGGTGGCAGAAAATAGCAAGATTTGGCGTTCTTTTGGTAATCTAAAAAATAAAGAATTTTAAACAATTTTTTTTTGTATTAATGTTACAAATACGCAAAACACCTTATCATCTAAACATTTTTTATTAATATTTAATCTCTTATTATTTTACAGCGAATTTAAAAATATTCACAACTTACCGTGAAATAACCATATCTAACATTCCTTTAAAGTCTTGTGAAAGTAATTTGTCGGCCTCATCAAGAACCAACATCCTACACTGGTCCATCTTAGCCACTTGTTTATCCATGAGATCAATCATTCGACCCGGCGTAGCAATAATCACTTGAACTAAAACAAAAATGAAATAAATAGATATTAAAAACATTATCTCCTGTGATTTCATTAATACAAAGTATTTAGTCAAGTGTTCTTTAAGGCCATGTCCAATAGTGGATTTAAAATACTGAAGCAGAGTTTACTTTGTTCATAGTTTATGTTAACTTTGATTTCTATTCTCAATCTTGTTTCGGTGTTTTTAGTGCAATATTTTAAATTGTCTTTTTTACAGTTGGGTTTTTGATTTATTAATTATTTATTTTACTGTAGTAGTTTGCACTATGAGAATTTTGCTGATAATGTTACTGCCCTGTAAAGAATAACTCTAACAACAATCTAAGGTAAAGGTAAAGGTTATATATGTCTCGAACAACATGCATAGAAATACTGTGCTAAAACAATAAAAAAATCAATCTTAATGTGGTTGTCATTTGGAAATGGTGGTTTCAGTTGGAAAAACAGTCTGTTGTAATTATTAAACATTTTCAAGTGTTTTAGTTGTAAATAGGACATATTTTTGTATTTAGTTTAAGTAATTAAGGAATATTGTATATTTCAATAATATATCGGTAAAATGTCCCAAATGGTACAATGTTATCAGGCAGTATGGGCTGGACAGTTATTTAACATATTTAGAGAACTTGTGGAGAACACACAGCTTCAAACTATTACTTCTTAACTCATGTAAGTTTTTTGTGTAACTGTTTTGTAATTTCCATGGCAATCAAATTCTTATATTGGATAGAACAGAATAATTTTTATTCAATATAGATTACAAGAATACTTATTGAAAGTCATCACCACTAGTTCGGGAAAGACTTCTGTCATGGAAAGAACCAGCAAGAAACCCAGTGGGATTTTATATTAATATTAATAGCATAATTTACATTATAATACTTTATGCAATTAGATGAAAACATTCAAAGACATTATATTCTAGGGACCGAGATAACAGCATTGTTAATTTTGTGTTCTGTTTATTGCTCACTTAACATGATATACTATATTGGATAATTTTGCCAAATACCATTTTGTTTTAAAGATAAAATTAGGAACAAGCTAGAGTCCCAAGTTTTATTATCCCTGTTTATTATTTCTTCAGTCAACCTTAATTGATACCTGAAAAATAATTAAAAACCTTCACAAATGACTACTTAGGACCAAAGAAGATATGTATAATTACTAAATCTATACACTTTCAAACCACCATCATAAAGTAGACAATGAATCAAGAATGCTATTCTTCCTTTCCATATACAATGACAATACAGTATCAAAAACATAATATTCGTTCTGCTGACAGAGAATTCATAGTATGAAAAAATGCTTCTCAGTTCCACATTCATATTTCCGTAATAACGAAAATACTCAGACTATAGAATCTGAACTTAGAAGAATCCTAATAGATGTAACTGGCTCCTATTATGGTGACTACTTAGGTAATGACACTAACATGACGTATTATCTTTCAAATTTTGAGAAACTAGTACGCAGTTAATTCTAGATAAACCATTCACTTCAAATGGATGGGAATTTACTATGGTAATATGAATGAATTAGAAAATACAAAATTAAAAGTGATTCAAATAACTGGAAAAAAAATAAGAACTTTTTATGTAAAATGTCACAAGGTAAAGAATAGAAAACTCAAGGAGGATAAAGTAAGACCTGATAAACAACTAAGTGTCACATGCTATAAATATTTTTGCATAAAGTATAAGACAAAATTGCAGAAAACTTGATAATAATACTAACCAAATCCCTACGCTTTGGTAAAATTTATTAATACATTATTAATAAACATTAATAAATTTAAAATCAGTTCAAGTATTAAACACATAACTTTTAAAAATTCTAATTTCAGCAGTTAGAATATATTGGCATTTCACCATTGATTTATTTTATTATGGATTATAAACCGATATGTGTACCTAATAAATTCATTACTATATGCATTTTGTATTTGTAAGTTAATAAAAAATTGATTAGTATATACTACATTGATTTTTTGTTCTGATTGGCATTCTTACTCAATAATCCTCACATAATAATATAAACTTTTATGTTTTATTGATTGCATAAAATTTTTTCAATACGGAGACAACATTAATATATGAAAATATTCATAAAGAATAAATCAATAATATTATTCGAAGTTAGATATTTACAGCACTATTATAATTCATATAGGTTGCCAGAATTGTAAGTCAAAATTTAAATATCTCGCCTTGATGTGGGGAGGAGGAAAGCTTGTTATTCTTCCATATATTAATACAGAAGTTCCCCCTCTTACAACTTAGCGATTATATCTGAACTATTATTAAATGAACAGAGGCATCAATCAACACTATTAAAATAGATACAATAAATCAAACTTGCCATATCTATATCAGTTAAAGTTACAGCCTATATACGTCCCACTGCTTGGCACATGCCTCCCCTCATTTCTGAGAGGGTTTTAGGGCAAGGAAGTGTCCGCCGCACAACCCCAATGTGTGTTAGCGAACTATACATGTCTTCGAAATATTTTTTTTCTTATTCCTCAGACATGCAGGTTCCCCAAAATGTTTTCTTTCACTGCCGAGCATGTGGTAAATCAGCACTTAATATTACAATTAACAATTTCAATGGTGCCGGCGGGGATCAAACTTGGGTTACTCGCATTATTATATTTACAGTGAGCATTAACCATCTGAGCTACCACGGCTCTTATATCAGTTAACATCTTACTTTTTTAACCACATACACTTCAGGAAGTCTTCTTGACACGACTTCAATGTCTCCATTGTAGCGAAACTAAGGAATAATCCGCTAAAAAGTATTTGATTGTTGAACTCAATAGGAATAGTAACTTGCCTTACTTAATAAGGAAATTTAATGCATTTAATAGTAACCAGAATTGATCCTAAAATTATATAAGACTAGTGATCCCCACAGGATTCACACAGGCAATTTCTGATCTCAACCACAGTACTACCTACTGGGTCCAATTAAGTTTTTAAACCATCCATCGACCAATTTAAATACAAAAAATATAATCAAAATCATCTGACAGGAAGGAGAAAAGCAAGGCCATAAAGTAACTAAAATGTTTGTCAATACTACTTACTGCCCTCAATACATTTGATATGAACAAAAGTTCTTAAAATATGATTAGAAGTAAAATGTAGCCACATTACTTAAAAGATTACAGTCTAAAATGGACATAATTTGTTTGTGTAAATTCATCATATCAAAGGTTTGTTGCAAACATACTATAACTCAACAACTCACCATTTTGGTAAATACGCATTATGTCATCTCTGAGGTTTGTGCCTCCTGTGGTAACCATTACACGAATATCTGTGTGCTTCGCCAGTTCAATGCAAATTTGTGATGTCTGTAGTGCTAGCTCTCTAGTTGGTACTACAATTAAAGCTTGTATAGCATCTTTTTTTGGATCTACCTAAATGAAGTACAGTATTATGCATTATTATACGTAAATTTTATTGATATTTGAATAAAATGAATAACCAATAAATACATTGTTACTCAGAGCTTGGTTTTATCACTTATCAAAAGTGAAGGGGAATCCAAATGGTATCATCATTGATAATAACTGTATTACACAAAGTTAAATAAATAAAAGAAAACATAAATTTGTTTTGTTTTATTTTAAAAAAAGAATATTAACAATGCTATAAACATTACTAATATTCTCCTTAACCGCTCGGTAAGCTTAAATTACTTGTGTTACGAGTGGTTCATGATAGTAGTCGAATGGCAGATTCGAACCCACGACCTTTTTGAGTTCGCGGTCCGCGCCCTGCCATTAGGCTACTGTCGCTTCATCTTTTTTGTTAAAAAAAAAAGAATATAACATTAGTAACGATAATTGCTAAGTGTAAAAGAATATTTATCCATTTATCCAAGAATATTCACCACCACATATTCTACTATGGGTGTTGTATGACAGGGTAACAAACCAGTAGATGAGCAGCAGCATCAGTCTTATAACAACTAGAAATGAAAAAACTGTTTACCAACCCACTTGCATAGCGTGACAACTATGGCAAAAGGGGGGATATACTCATAATGAGGCGTACTATGGGGAGGCATATATTCAGCAGAAAACTTTGATAGGCTGTAATGAATCAATAAAATATTTTGTTTAATGATTAGGTCTTCTTAATACTTAAATTTACAAAAAGTTACCTGTTCTAACACTGGAATACAATAAGCTCCTGTTTTGCCAGTTCCATTTTTTGCTCTCGCAAGCACATCTTTACCACTGAGTGCAATTGGGATTGAAGCCTCTTGAATAGGGGATGGCTTTTCCCATCCCTTTTCAAATATTCCCATCAATAGCTCTCTCTTTAAGCAAAACTCTTCAAATTCATTGCCTCTTGTATCCGTCACATCCTATCATGTGAAAAGTAAGTTGTAAGATAACAGCAGATGAAAAACATTCACCAAAAAATAAATGAGGGTACATATAAAACTTACGCTAGTCTTTATTCTTCTGTCTTTGGGGGGTATTTTTAATTTTGATTTCCATCCTATGTCTTCCACAGTTTTATCTACATCTCTGCAAAAGTATTCAACATTAAAATGATGATTTAATTATAACAAAAATGACACAAAAATCTACAAACCCCTTGGTCTGGTTGCTCATGCTGTTTCCAACGTGATTACTTGAACTAATTCTACTTTCGGTCATCATTTTGACAAATAACTCCCACTAGGGATCACTAAAATTAGAAACTTATCACAAATGTTTTTCAGTCCAACACTAAACAAATTTTACGACAAGACACTTTTAGATACATATGCTATTTGAAAAATCTATCACGTTCACCAACTTAGTTAAGGGATACCTGTAAAGAGAAAGTTATTTTAGAATTAAACCCCGAACGAACCAATAGTGATTACCTATGTAGGAGACGCGTCAACAAGCAAAATACTAATCTATATATATATATACAAATACACGGACAATACTAGAATATTAAAAGTGAAAACTAAAAGGACTCAAATACGACACTCATTAATAAATATTAAATATTAAAATATTTAACGGTACAAAACAAAAGATTGATTTGATGCAGACAGATAAATGTACCATTTAAAATATAGTTCCAAATTTAATATGGCCGCCGAATAGTAATATGTGACAGATATTTTACAAAATAAAACAATCACATACTTAAACCATAACATTTTAAATGTTATAATAATAATAATAAATTGTTAAAATTAATTGATAGATAATAAATAAACAAATATCACCTTGATAAAACTTTACGAAAGACGACGACACTCGATACTTAACGACGACATCACAAGTAAAAAGCGGTAGTGTTACCGACGTTTAAAACTATGTTAGGAAAATATGAAACTAGTAAAAAATCAATGTTGCTAAATTAGAATGCATTTTTTACGTAGACAGATAATCTACCGTCTACGAATTTTTAACAATTTCAATTATACAGCTGCAAAATTCAAGGTTTTAAAATTATAAATTATTTACTATAAACCAGTTACTATTAAAGTTTGTAGTTCTAAGTATCATGTAACGTAAATATAAATTGGAATTAGTTAGGTACCAAATAAAAAGTTAAAAAAACGAGTGTGCTTATGACCACACGACTGAAGTAAAACTTATATACATATATATATATATATATATATATATATATATATATATATTTAATATACACATGTATATACATTTACATTTATAAATTTTCTACAAATATTTAAATTTAGTATCGGCTTCGATTCATAATTTGTTATTAGTCACCCGAAAACTAACAAAACATGAACTTATTCACTTTAAACCACGTTAGTACTCTTATTAGTTTGTACTTTAAACGTAGAATATTTAATGTATTGAACAAAATATTAATTCCGAGAATTGTTCAAAACGACATAAAATTACGAAAAATAATTGGCTATGAGAGAAAGATTGCCGTGTAGTGGCGGTTAAGAATATCCACTACCCCATATCTTCCCGTGGGTGTCGTAAAAGGCGACAGAGGGAAACAGGCAGGAGATGAGCAGCAGCATCTTCCTGATAGCAGCAACCGTGCAAAAAAACTGCAGTTGCCAACCCGCTCGCCAAGCGTGGCAACTATGGAAATATACCCCCCATGTTAGTTACAAAGAAACGGTCCCGCTATTACTGGCTACGGTGGCGACCATGGTAACGGCGGGGCAGGGGTGCTAAGAATCTCCGGTGGAGGTTCGGTTGCCACCTACGACGACTCAACCTGGCAACATATAACGCACGCACCCTGAGGACTGACGAGAAGATTCTGGAGCTGGAAGAAGAGATAGATAAGTTGCGCTGGAATATTATAGGATGCGAGGTCCGAAGAGAGGGGAGGACACGGTAATTCTCGAATCCGGCAACTTGTTTTATCACCGGGAGGGCGACCATCTGTCCCAAGGAGGTGTTAGTTTTATAGTCTACAAGTCTCTCGTTAAAAACGTTGTGAGGATTGTGAGTGTATCGACGAGGGTTGCGTACCTGATACTCAGAATCACCAAACGGTATTCCCTGAAGGTCATACAGGTTTACGCGCCAACATCGGAATATCCCGATGAGGAGGTGGAGGAAATGTATGATGATATTTCTAGAGCCATGCATCCCTCCAAAACTCACTATACGGTGTTAACGGGAGACTTCAACGCAAAACTGGTCACAAGAAAGAACGGTAGGCTGAAGAACGGTAGGAAGAAGGAAGGCTGAAGGTCCAACATTTGGGATAGGGCAACGGAGAGAGAGGGACTCTTTATGATGAACTCTTTCTTTCAGAAGCGGTCCCACAGGAAGTGGACCTGTCAAGCCCCGACGGTTCGACAAAAATGAGATTGACTTCATTATGACGACCAGACACCAACTGTTCAGTGATGTGTCAGTGATCGCAAGGGTGAAAACTGGCAGCGATCACCAAATTAGAGTCACACTGAACCAAAACGTTAAGTTGGAGAGATCTCGTCTAATAATGTCAACGCTCCATCCCCTTCGTGCTCTAGTCCAGAATTTCGAAACCTTTCAGCTCAAGTTACAAAATCGCTTTCAGTGCCTAGAAGATTGCAATGCTCACTGCATAACTCAAACCATATGAATGACAAGCTCGTGGAAACTGTCCATGCGGTCGTAGCTAAGTTCTACAATACCCGCCGCAGAAGAACATAAAAACTCTCCGATCACACTTTTAATTTCATGGCTGTTAGATGGGAGATGAGGCTGCAATCGTCAGCAGATTTGACAGCATACAGGCAACTGAACAGACAGATCTCCAAATGCATGCGGCGGAACTTACGCAACTTTAATACTGCTCGTATTGAAGAAGCGATCGAGCGGAACCAGGGCTTTCTTTGCCAGAGATCTGTCTGCAAGAAAGAGCCAACTGTCAAAGCTGAAGACTAAGTTTGGCAGCATCGTTTCCAGGGACACCTGAGATTTTGAGTGAGATTGAGAGGTTCTATGGGCAGCTGTACTTATCTTTTTCACAGCCACACGCAAGTGTGAGTTACGATCCAAGAGCAAGTCTTATCCGACACTATTCCAATGATATCCCGGACGTCAGTCCGAGCGAGATTAGAATGGCTCTCCAGCACCTTAAAAACGGAAGGGACCCAGGCGAGGATGGAATTACAGCGGAGCTTCTGAAAGCGGGTGGAACACCGGTACTTAAAGTCCTTCAGAAGTTTTTCAATTCCGTCCTCCATGGTGGCACTACTCCGGAGGCGTGGAACAGAAGTGTGGTGGTCTTTTTCTTCAAGAAAGGTGACAACGCTCTCTTGAAGAATTACAGACCGATTTCCCTTCTGAGCCGCGTCTACGTGCTGTTTTCGAGAGTCATTACGAATAGTCTCGCACTTCTCGACTCGACGACTTCCAGCCTACCGAACAGTACGTTAGTACTCTTATTAGTTTGTGCTCCCGAACAAGTCGGTTTCCGAAAAGGTTTCAGTACCATAGACCATACATACATACCCTGCGGCAGATTGTACAGAAGACCGAAGAGTACAATCTGCCACTTTGCCTGCCATATGTGGATTATGAGAAAGCCTTTGATTCCGTCGAAATTTGGGCGGTGCTACAGTCCCTTCAGCGGTGCCAAGTTTACTGTTGGTATATCGAAGTGCTGAAGTGTTTATACAGTAGGGCTTCGATGGCTATCCGAGTACAGAACCAGAGTTCAAAACCTATCCAACCGCAGAGAGGTGTAAGACAGGGTGACGTTATATAACCGAAACTCTTCACCGCTGCATTCAGTACCGTCTTTACCGTAAGGGTACACGGCGCCCTATCGTCCCTATCGTCCTACCCTATCGTCACGGGGGCCCCCGTGACGAAAGGCATTGGCCTTATTCGCTTACGCCATACAATATTTTTTCCATATTAAGAAAATATAACCTGAAAATGAGGGCGTTGTTAGTGACTTTCTGGCAACTCTGAGCAATGACAAGCCACACATAACTGAGTTGGCCAGAAAAGTGGCATTGACAGATTTCCCATACTGCTTTGTTTAAAGGTTACCTAAACTATTCATTTTTGTTTTTAGTACTGACATCATATTATGAAATACTAGTTAATTCAAACTTAATCTGTTTTTATATATTTAAATAACTATAATATACCTAATACGAAAGAGAACTCACCCTAAACCTTAATATCTTTTATTAAAAATCTACCGAAATATAAAAGTTCAACTTGCAACCTATTCTGCAACAGGAAAAAACTTTTTTTAATATGAATATATTTCTAGACCTGCAATTCAGAACAAAAACTATGCCATAGATGTAAATTGCGGCCTAGTAACGAAATGGATAAATTAAGATAGCAGTTATATTTTCATTTAAGACAGTTACTGTTTTAAGGCAAATACGGAATAAAGTTACATACTTATCCGTACCGGCAATACTTCCTATTAGCTACAACCATATTCTCTCAGAATCTCACTATGTTCTGGAACAATATTTGACTTTATCGAATATACTCATATATTGAATATATGAATAGACGTGAATATTACCTTTTATAGCTGATATATCCAATCTCGTTTTTGTATCTTGCAATGTAAAAATACTTTTACAAGTAGAATTGAATACAAATATAAAATACAGAAACAATACATGAAAACATATAAAATGTTAGAGGTTATCTGATTTAAAACTGAACGCGCCTCCATCGTAGACTTAATTACTTTTATCGTGTTAAATATACTGGATGACCTTTTTCACCGTCTGGAAAAAATGAAGTGTAACGTGTAATAAACGGAATAGAAGCCTATGGGACTGATATTTTACAAAAAATAAAAACAAAAGTTTTGAATTAAATAAATAAGTTAATTAATTAAAATCTATCAAAATTCAAATCATATCCACCCTACTTTACGAATGGCAAATAAAACAATAAATTTAGTAGGCATCTTTGACCTTGTTTCTTTGCAGGGTGGAGGTGAATATGATTTGAATGTCGGTAACTTTTAATTGATTAATTTATTTTATTAAAATTTTGTTGTTTTTATTTTTTGTAAAATACAGATATTTTAGCCATAGGCTTCTACTCCATTCTCATGTTACACCCTATTTTTCCAGACGGTAAAAAAGTTCATCCAGTACAATAAAACACAATAAAAGGAACGCGCTGATTAAGAATTTATATTACTATACATGAAATTTGTGCAGTTTTTCGATTAAACAATAATTAACCCTAACTGAATGACTGACTGACAGAAAAATAATAACCAAAACCGGTGACCCTAGAAATTTGAAATTTCGAGTAAGCATTCCTTGAATATCCTAGACGTGCGTAATTCTAAGGTTTTAGAAACTCCCAGAGGCATGAGATTGATGCAGGCTACCCTACGAGCCAGACCTGTAATACATAAATTAAACATTTAAAGAGTGAGTGATATTGACGCGAAAGCCCAAAACCACATTGGTTTTAGGCTTTCGCGACAACCTTAACCACATCAAATTAATATTAGTTTAAGGCTCTCACGGGTTTTGTGGGGTTAAAAAATTACTACACCTCTGTTGGGGTGGGTCATTTCAGCTTTAGAATAAAATATTTAAATATTTCTTTAAGAAATAAATAATATTTTAAGATATATCTAACTTTATTAGGTCATAGTTAAGGAAAAAAAGATTCTTAATAAAAAGTAAACGCCGACTTCAAAAAATTAAAAAGATTAAAATAATTTTCGTATATTAGCTTCAAAAGTCGGTGTCAAGACACATTCTATACTTAGAATTATTAAAGCTCTGTTAAAGCTCTCTCTTTCTTCTGAAAAGTCTATTTTTTACCTATTGAGTGGTTAGTCCATTTTTTCTCCAATTTTTACGGGATTACCCCTGTAATATAACCTGTTTATTAAAAAAAGTATCATAAGAATCCAAGAAAAAGAAATATACATACAAAAAACTGTACTATTGAGATTCTCCTTTTTTAAGAAAAAACCGTTGTACATAATGTTTGTTCATTTTTAATTATTTATTATTATTTTAATAGTTTTAGAAATAAGGGTGACAAACAAGCACACAGTCCATTTGATGATGGCCCATAGATATCTACATCTATCCTCGTATTCGATTAAGAATCAAAATGCTGTCCGGGCACCATCTCCATGGGGTAGACACATGATCACAAGATATAAAAATGGCAATGTCTTATGATTCCATTCATATGAATATACTTATAAGACTTACTTAACTGTAAACTTCCCATTTTATCGACTCAGTTTGGCGCATTATCTAACAACAAAACATCGCCCTCTTTTCCCACGATGATATACAAAATGAAAGAAAATGACCTTGAAAATTTTCTTTACCCCTCCATCTCTGTATTGCATGGTATTTTGTACTTACAAATGAAATATAATATTACATCCTGGATGCCACTCAATTTTGCAACCGCGCACAATACCATGACCATTTTATGACCATTTTACTAGTTTTGCCTCTTGATTATTCTAAAATTCAAAAACAAACTTGCGGAATGATGATAAACATCCGCCATTTGATTTTGAGTTGCCATAATATAGCGTTAACTATTACAAACTATATATATATATATATATATATATATATATATATATATATATATATATATATATATATATATATGTAAACTATAGTAGTATGGTAGTAAAGTATAACTTTATATAACTATTATATTCATAGAGAAAACGATGAAACAAGTGCTTTGATGTTGATATATGATGATGATCATGAACTTGAGTGGCTGTCGTCATCAACAGTCCGCTGGGTTGAGCTGTCGTCAAAATCTCTCAAAAACTTCGCAACGTGATGCATCAGCATATTGTGAAGAAAAAATATATAAAATGAAGATTCTGAAAGAAATGATCTCTAGTATCCAGAGCCGTAAAGCCAGTTAAATAAAAAAATAAATAAAAAAGGTTGACAAATCAAATGACATATAATGGGTGCGTTTGGCAGAAAAAAGCGCTAGCAAGCGCTTGTAAGCAAAATAGCGATCGTAAGCGGTAAGCGCTGTCAAATCGTAAGTAGCTATTTTCCTCTAGGACACGAAGTTAGTTTTAATTGGGGAACCTAACCCAATATATGTTTATTCATGTCATTATTTTACTTAAAACTAATATTGCACAAAAAAACTTATAAACTCTACTTCAAAACAAACAAATTAAATAAGCAAAATGGTGGATTGTGTCAGCGCTACTGAAGTAGCAATCGTGTCCTGGCCGAAAATTATTTCAGCGCTTGTAAGCACTTGCTACCGCTTTTTTCTGCCAAACGCACCCAATGAGTAATGACTTGACTCTCTGACTAGTATTTAGTATAGAGGAAAGTAATATATCGTATTTAGTATCTGTGGTAATGACAGTGACAAGTGTTTGAGAATATAAATATATTTATCATATATTTATAAAATATTATATAAAATTATAAATTAAATCACAAGAATAAGTGTGATACAGTTTATATTCTAAGTTATTGATAACTCGTGTTAATTTTCTTAAACGTTTTAACCCGATAAACGAAGAAATATATTTAATTTTTATTATTAACAGTACGTGAGTAGCAAAAATGTAAGCACTATTTTTATATCAAATCGAAACAAAATGTTTTATTTTTAGTTTTTGTATTTATTCCTTGTAAAAATGTATTAATTATTAACTTGTTAACAGGACTGAATATTGGAAGTCACATGCGCGCAAATATTGTGATTTTTGCAAGTGTTGGTTAACAGACAATAAAGTGGCAAGTATTTATTTTAACAAGTTATTAGTAAAATATAATTTATTATTTGATTCGAATGGATATCATTACTATGTAAGGGCACGGTAAGTATTTCCATATTTCTTTCATAGAGGTCTATTTTCAGCAGTTCTGTTATATTATGAGAAATGAAAATGAATTATAACAGTAAAAATATCTTTACTTTGTTAATATCTCGCAAGGATGTCTTCACATAGATATGTGAGACATTTTTGGCTTAGTCTGTTCTTGATGAATCTCACGGACGACTGAGGGAGTGTCAAAATAACAGTGATGCAATTACATATAATAATAATTTGGTTTATAATCTATAAAACTCAAAGAAATATGGACATAGAATAACTAATAAGTTTTTGAGGTATCACCTTATTGCAGGGATTGTAGGCTTATGCTATGCATTGTCAGTGTTGGGAGTAGCATATGTTAAACATGGGCTTTTGATGGGCTGTATGTATTTTTTTTTATAGAAGAGGGGCAAACGAGCATGCGGCTCACCTGATGTTAAGTGACTACCGCTGCCCATGATCAACTGCTACACCAGGGGAATTGCAGGTGCGTTGCCGGCCCTTTAGAAAGGAGTAAGCTCTTTTCTTGAAGGTCCCCAGGTCGTATCGGTCCAGAAAAATTGCCTGGGGTAAACAATTCCACAGAGAGGTTGTATGTGGAAGAAACCGCTCTGCGCTGAATGCGGTCAAGTGGAAGGAGCTGGTACTGGGGAGCCCCAGCCCAGAGATGGGAACAGTATTCCATGTGCGGCCGAACCTGAGCCTTGTAAAGTTGCAGGCGGTGTGCCGGCATGAAACACTGTCCCGCTCTGCTGAGCACGCCAAGCTTTTTAGAGGCCAGTTTGGCCTTCCCTTCCAAGTGACCACAAAACTGCACGTCACTCGATATGTCGACGCCGAGAATTCCGATACTGGCTGAGGCAACAAGGGGAGTGCCTTGAAACTGAGGAGATACGACAAAGGGGTTCTTTTTTGCGGTTAACGCGCAAACTTGTGTCTTCCTGGGGGTTAAACTGGACTAGATTTAGTCGCCCCCAATCCGAAACTCTGTTCAGCAAAGGCTCGACTTCAGACACAAGTTTGTGCCGAAACTTGGAGACGTTTTCCCAAGAAATATTGGCTCAGTCAGTGTAAAGAGCATCACCAGTGCTGTCATCTGCGTATCAATGAATGTTACGGGTGTGCAACATATCATTGATATGCAGAAGAAACAGCGTTGGCGATAGCACGCAGCCTTGTGGAACACCAGCATTAATAGGCTTGCAATCGGAGCTTGCACCATCTACAACGACCTTGATGCTCCGATCTGCAAGAAAGCTGGTGATCCAATCGCACAATTTCTCGGGAAGCCCATAGGAAGGAGCTTCGAAAGAAGCGTTTTGTGTCAAACCCGATCGAAGGCCTTCGCAATGTCACAAACTATGTATATGATGATCATATTATAATTTAAGTATATTAACAAAAATTATAATCTAATTTCTATATTATGTGAAGTATTATAAAGATGTTTATTGTGATACCAAAGGGCATATTGAAGAGAGAGAAAAAATGATAAAGATGTTTTAAATTAATATAATTTCTCATCAGTTACTTCAAATAACAATCCAACTAAATGACCTTACTTTTTAATTATCAATCTTTAAAGTAGACCTGCAGGGTGTCCTCCAGCTTAATTTTTAAATATATGTTTATGTGCAGAACACATCTAGACAAAGTCAGATATGTGATATGGCTTTTTATGAGGAACTCAAAAATTCAATATCCTCTGTAATGATTTCTTATATTTACGCGAACACTACACATTGATTAAAATTACTTTTACGGATTTTATCGCGTTTATTTTACTATTATTTTTAATTCCCGACGTTTCGGGTGCTTTCCAGCACCCATGGTCACGGGGGACTGAGATGACTGACGTCCCGATGTCATTGTTAAACCCGGAGTACCTTCAGCTTTTTGTTTTTTTTTTCAATATCCTCTTCTTTGGTTTAAGTTACATAAACTTGTATCATTCATATTAGTGTCACTACTGGAGTACAAGATCTAAAGCCATCTAGAGAAATACCCTTGACCGTAACACATCCCTGACATTACACTGATGTGTGTGAATAAACTTGATTACTACTAAAAGAAATGTCTAAAAATTATTTGTAAAAAATTTCTATTAAAATAGTAAAGTGATCACTGTACTATTTAGACTTTAAAAATATTGAGTCTCATTATAAATGGATGGAATATAATCTTACAGTGTAGCATAGTATTTTAGCACTTGTGTTTTGTACAGTGAGTGATAAGAATCGGGGACCGTTTTTACTAGTAATGAAATATTCCATCTTAGTCATTATGGGGTGACAACACATCAGTATCAAATCAAATCCTTAATAGAGGACAGGAACAGCATCCAATTAACATTGGTCAGACTGTGTGTTTGTCACCCTAACTTTTATATTTTTTATATTAAAATATTTTAACTAGATATAATTTCCATTGTACAATTCTACCTTATGTACCGACTTATAATCTTTTCTATCTTTTTAAATTTCAATTTTTCTAGTTTCTTTTTAAATTTCAGTCAATATCTTTCCATGAAAATGGTAAAAAACATAAGGAAAATGTACAAAAACATATTTCACAACTAACCAAAAAGAGTGCAAAAGAATTCAAACAAAAGGAAAAACTTGATGATGACATGAAGAAAATGGAAGCTGCAGCAATGGCTGCTTACTTAAAAGATGTCCAAAACAATGGTGATCTTACATCTAAAGTAAGTTTTTGGATTTATCAGAAACATATAAGTGTTAGAAGGTGTTGATTTAATGTTGATTGAATTATTTTCCATCTTAGCCCCTGTAGTAGCTGTCTCATTTCTCTTTTGTCATTCTGTGGGTGTCATAATATCTTCCTTAAGCATCTTCCTTACTACAGCTATGAGGCAAAACAAGGGAGATTGATACCCATGTTTTACAGTGGACTTAAGATAAGCGGAAATTAATGATTGAGTGTATTTTTTTGTAATGTGATTAAAATATGACTTTATTTTTAACTTTAATTTCAGTTACATTCAAATATAAATTATAGTTAACTAGTTTTTATATATATTTATTTAAACTACATATCTTTTCAGTATTTCTATCTGATACTTTACAATTTTTGCTAGTTGCTTCTTCTTCAAATGGCATTTTATTTTTCCTACATTCACAATTTAAAGTATCATCTTCAACACAGTTTGTGTGTTGCTTAAAAGGGTTGTTTTTCTTGAAAATTATGGTCATCCTAGGGTAAGAGTAAAAAGTGGTTTTGAAATTTAGTATAATTAGTGCAGGTAACAGCAGTCCAATCAGGTAAACTTTGACCGAGAGGTCAATTGATGGATTCAACTTGGCTGGGCAGTGTTCGGGAAATCACGACACATTTTCTCGTCAGGTATACCTCAAAACCTTAAAACGAGATTGTACAACCAGTGCATGTTGCCAGTGATGACTTATGGATCTGAGATGTGGTCCTTCACTGCTTGCCGTATGAGAAAGCTCAAGGTCGCTCAGCGAGCTATGAAGAGGGCTATGCTTGGAGTTTCTCTGCATGATAAATTTAGAAATGAGGATATCCGCAATAGAACTAGAGTGACCAACATAGCCTAACGGATTAGTAGGCTGAAATGGCAATGGGTCAGCCATATAGCTGGAAGAATCACCAATCGATGGGGAAAAAAAGGTTTTCGAGTGGCAGCCTCGTACTGGTAGGCACAGTGTAGGGCGACATCTCTAGATGGAGTGACGATCTGGTAAGACATGCAGGAAGTCAATGAATGCTGGTGGCTCAAACCATGCTTTGTGGCATTCCTTGGGAGAGGTCTATGTTTAGCAGTGGACTTGTGAAGGGCTGTAATGATGATGATGATGATGAGTGCAGGTATAAAAAGTGACCTCCTCATTAAATGTACACTAAACTTGTTGATATGCATTCATACCTGATTGTAGATTCAAAACTACTATAAAATAACAAATTTTGTTTGATTAAGCCTTGTTATTAATTGTCATTAAATGAACCTGGCATATTTTTTAGTATAATTACCCAGACTGACAGACTTGGCCTGTGTTGTAATTGTATCCATGCGTGGCACCACTGTTGCCATATGCTTAGCCACCGTGCTACATAGTGACAACTATTATTTGTACTGTGAATGTTAATTATTTTTTAATAATTATCCTTTTTTTTTACTAACATTTTTGTGGTCACAACGGCCAGTTTCAATAGGGATTTACCACCTGGGACAGGAATAGTGCACAAGTGTGTGCACTATTCCTGTCCTTCTGTCCTGCATAAATAAAGATCAGGCGCAGGATCAACGACTTTACACACAAGGACGAATTAATATTGTCAACTGCCTAACTTCAGACTGCTACTGATAATTTCTGGAACAAAAACTCAAAAAAACTAATTTTTACCCTAGACCAATAAGCAGTCATAATAATCTTGTAATATATTGTTTTAGGTTATCAATGAAATGGTTGAAAAAAGTGGTGGCAGTGTTGAAAATATCACTATTAGTAGTAGTACTAAAGACAAATCGGCGCCAGAGTGGCATGAAATTAAAAATGAAAGTGGAAATTCATATTTTTGGAATACAAAAACTAATGGTAATGTTTATTAAAATACAACCATGTGATTCTAATACTAGATAAGCCTAGCTGTATTAATATATTAACCATATTGTTAGGAATGTGGGTAGAAGATGAAAAAAAATATGAAGAAATGAGGGTAGAGTTCTAATCTCCCACTGTATAAAGTATGGCGCAGGCGACTGCATACTTTGTTCTGTGAGTGTTTTATAACTTCGTTACTGAGAAATATTTCTTTTCTTTAAATTCTATACAAACTTAGGAGTAACTTCTAATAAACAGTATTAAATGTTGGTGAATATTTTTTAAAATCTTAGTATTATTAACATTAGCCTGAACTATCAACTATTCGTTGTTGATTGCTAGTTGGATTTGCGATTTAATTACCAAATACTGTTTTATATATTTTAGATTAATTTAATTTTGCATCGCTCTTTTTTAATTTTTCTGAACCCTGTTTTAAGTGTTTCGTAGCAAATTCAGCAAAATACAAGGTGTCCAGTAGGAAAGTTCATTTTTCGATTTAAGAAAAAGAATTCTAAGTTAATGAGTTATTATTTTTTTATGGAAGAGGGGGCAAACGAGCATGCGGCTCACCTGATGGTAAATGACTACCGCCACGCATGAACAACCGCTACACCAGGGGAATTGCAGGTGCGTTTCCGGCTTTTTAAAAATGAGTAGGCTTTTTTCTTAAAGGTCCTTAAGTCGTATCGGTCCGGGAAAATCGCCGGTGGTAAACAATTCCACAGAGAAGTTGTGCGAGGTAGAAATCTCCTAGTAAAAAGCATAGTGGTGGTTGGTTTTTTGATCGCCAAGCATCGAGATGGTGAGGATGGTATCTTGAATTTTGGCGCAATGTGCGTTTTTGAAATTTGGCGGCTGGGCTTAATCCGAACAATTCCTCAGAGCACTCCCCGTTGTAGATGCGATAGAAATGCAACATCCCTACGCAACGCCACTGAATCCAGCCTATCAGAAAGAACTCGGTCGTCGACTATTCGAATCGCTCTGGGCTTGATGCGGTCAAGTGGAAGGAGCTGGCACAGAGGTACCCCTGCCCAGAGATGAGAACAGTATTCCACGTGCGGCCGAACTTGCGTTTTGTTAAGTTGCAAGCGATGTGCCGGCATGAAATACTGTCTCGCTCTGCTGAGCATGCCAAGCTTTTTATAGGCCAATTTGGTTTTCTCCTCCAAGTAACCACGAAACTGCACACTATTCGATATGTCGACGCCTTGAAACTGAGGAGATAGGACAAAGGGGTTCTTTTTAGTGGTAAACTTGCAAACTAGTGTCTCCTGGGGATTGAACTGGACTAGATTTAGTCGCCCCGATCTGAGACTTTGTTCAACAAAGTTTTGACTTCAGACACATGTTTGTTCCGGTACTCGGCGACGTTTTCCCGAGAAATATTGGCACGGACGGTGTATAAGGCATCACCAGTGCTGTCGTCTGCATAGCAATAAATGCTACCAGTTTGCAATATATCATTGATATGCAGAAGAAACAGCGTTGGTGATAGCACGCAGCCTTGTGGAATGCCAGCGTTTATAGGCTTGTAATCAGAGCTTGCACCGTCTACTACGACCTTGATGCTCCGATCAGGAAAACTGGTGATCCAATTGCACAATTTCTCGGGAAGCCCATAGGAAGGGAGCTTCGAAAGAAGCGCTTTGTGCCAGACCCGATCGAAGGCCTTCGCTATGTCCAAACTAACGGCCAATGCCTCCCCCTTGGACTCTACTACAAAATATTTATTTAATATGACAATATTAAGAAACTCAGCGGGTTTTATTTTTTGAATATCATTCTCTCCAAATGTTTACCATCTATTCGTACACATTCTTTTAATTGGACACGCAAATTTTCCAACACTTTCTTGTAGAGTTGCGAGGAGATATTGTTTATTTCTTGCCCGATATTTTTTTCAGTGTCGCTAGTGTTCGTGATTTGTTTGAATAAACTTTTGACTTCCCACAGAAAATAATCACATGGTGTGAGGTCGGGTGACCTGGTTGGCCAGCAGATGTCTCCAAACCTCGATATCAATTTTTGTGGAAAAAGTGCCTTTACCGTGTCCATTGACTCTTTGGAGGTATGGGAAGTGGCTCCATCCTGTTGGAACCATGTGTTTCTGTTAAGCGGCGTTCGGTTCTTACAATAGGAGCAAAAAAATTGTCGATCATGTTCTTATATAGCTACGAATTGAACGTCAAAGCAAGACTGTTCTCATTCTCAAAGAAAAACGGACCAATAACTCCACTAGAGGCTATGGTGCACCAAATAGTCACCTTGGACTCTCTTTTGGTTTCGTTGGTGCCCAATATCTGCAATTTTGTTTATTTACATAGCCCACAAAATGAAAATGGACCTCATCGCTAAAAACAGCGTTATTGAGTCTAAGCTGTGTAGAAAAAACCTCCAACATCTTTTCAGCACAAGATTTCCGTAATAAGTAATCACTTTCTTTTAAAGCTTGCACTAACTGTATTTTACTGGGATGACAAGGCATTTTTTTTTCTATGACTTGAACTAACTTTTCCTATGATTGATTTAAGGATTCCCAAAACAGCCGAATGCTTCCGTAAAGAACACCGCGGATTCGCAAGGACCGAATCACTTACTCGTTGCACATTTTTCTGGGTTGATGCAGTGGGTGGCCTGGAATGGGTTGATTAATGGTAGAACCCGTTTTACGAAACTTCTTTGGACTTAACAAATTATTTGGTGACGAAACGAGAGAAGTTTCTTCTGCGCAGTAATAGATGGCTTTGGGATTATAAATTACCGAAACATACAATAGAGGGCGCTATCAACTTGGTTCAGTATTATTACGTACATTTTAATAAATTAGTAAATGTTCATAGTTAAAAAATTAACTTCCCTATACTCTATCTATTATATTACGATTTAGTGTGCAATCTCGAATTTATTTTGTATATATACCGCAGTATTAAAAACTTTGATAGCATGATTTAGGCAGTGGTGCCATGTTTTGAGTAAAATGTGTAATAATAGTAGGGAAAATAGTGCTTTTAGTGACTGTAAGATGGTGCTAGTATCAACGATAGATGTAGATGTCTATGGGCCGTAGCAATCACTTACCATAAGGTGGATTGTGTGCTCGTTTGTCACCCTATCCTATATAAAAAAACGTAAAAGCAAGCTACTGAAGAATTTCATATCCCTGATCGCGACTGTTTAACTCGCACGCCTGACGTGTCGATTGAGACCTCTCCCCACTTCACCGCGCCAACCGTTGCTGCGTAATTCAAATTTGAAAACTGAATTTTCCTACTGGACACCTGGTAGAACACTTATGGAATTTTGGTTGTAAGTCGTTATCTGTTGGTACTTGTACTGTTGCCATCAGCTGTTTTCAACGACTTGTTGGAATGTCTGGAACTGTCGCCGTCGGTAAAGCTCTGCATCACTAGTTGGTTCTTCTTAAAAGGTTATTGCTGTTTAACATGGTAGAGCTTTATTGCGGCTATATTATGACTACACGATATAGAGGGAGGTCCACGCCCTCACAGAATACCAGTGGAAAATATTTTCTTATAATTGATCGGAAGCATTATGTGGAAATATTTTTGAAGTTTAGTTATTATTTGGATGCGTTGTGATTTGAAACTTGATGAAACGAAAAGGCGACACTACAAGTGGTAAAATTAAAAAATTTGTACAACCAACTTCAATGTAAATAAAATGAGAACATCATCAATGTAGTCGAAGTCAATTAAATACGCATTATTAATAATGATTTTAAAATGTTTTTGATCTTGATCAAATTTATCATTAATAAGCTTTCAAATAATTCATCAAAATCGGTTTACCTAGAAAAAAGTTCTGAGGTAATACACATAAAAAATACAGTCAAATTAAGAAACTCCTCCTTTTCTTTAAGTCGGTTGAAAAAGAGACAAACATATACAACCATAAGAACTGCGAGAGAATGGGATAGTGTACATTGTACAGTGTTTCCCATCTATATAATATAATTTCTTAACTTGGTAACAATATTATAATAAACAAATCCTTCCCTATTCTAACTCCTGATACTGTGAATTCTTCTCATTCTCTGGAAGTTTAGTTTTATAAAGTTTTCATTTCTACTGCGCATGAACTGCACACATGTTTTGTTTTTGAAGTTGGTATTATTAATTTTTTTAAGTTTAATTATGTACAAATATGCTATTGTGTTACGGACTATGAAATGACAATGTGCCAAGCGTCGCCTGGCGTCAGTACGCTATTAAAAACAAATTGTGGTTATATTTACATATATACATTTTAATTACAGAAACTACCCGGGACCCTCCCGATAATTATTTATCAATAGCTCAACAAGAAGCAAAGAAATTGAACGAGGAACAGTCTGAGAAGAAGCTGAAAAAGTTGAAGTAAGTTTCTCATCCTGGTAATCTGATATAAACATTTACATCTGATCCAAATACATCCCGTATTTGGATCAGATGTAAACGTTTATATTTATCTACAAGGTTATATAATTTTGTTAAATGTTTCGAAATGTTTATATAGAATAATTGTAACAAGCGAGCACATAGTCCACTGTGTGATTTACATGAAATTTTCTTCCTCGCACAACTTCCTTGTGGAATTGACTAACACCAGCTATTTTCTGACCGATACGACTTGGTGACCTCCGAGAAAACAGCCTACTCTTTTTTAAAAGGCTGGCAACGAATCTGCAATTCTCCTGGTGTTGCAGTTGTTCATATGCGGCGGTAGTCTTTTACCATCTGGTGAGCTGCTTGCTCGTCTACCCCCCTCATGTAAAAAAAGTCCACGTGATGGTAAATGGATGCTGTGGCCTATAGACATTTACATCTATCCTCGATTAATAATCAAAATGCAGATGCGTTGCCACTCCTGAGGACAAAGATGGATACTTCGTTTCCAATTATAATTGTCTCTGGTTCTTTACACTCACCATACGAAACACTAGCATTGAGCAGCGATTTTACGCTGTCGGACTTAAATATTGACCACAAACAAGGTTCTAATCAATCATCTGTATTATAACAATATGGCATGTGTTAGCATTTGGTAGCTTAACTGATTGTTGCTCTCAGTTAATAATTAATTTCAATTAGTTTAAATTCACCTAATTTAGCAGAAGGTTGAAGAGAATCCATTATATTTGAACTAAATAAATATTATGTCCACCATTCAAGGCAAATTAATTGGTTATAATTCTAATTTGTGATGATTTTACTGCAACTCTGTAATTATGTCTATGAGCCCAAACTTTATAATCATTCTTAGTTTATTAAAAGAAGTCCATTGTGCAGGGTCAAATTATAGGGTCCTGTACAAGGAACTGTCTGTAAGTAAAGTACCTATAGCAAACAGATGTTTAATTTTTTTACTGTCTGTTAATCATCTATAGGAAAATTTGGGAGCACCTAGGATCGTATGTATATGATTGTTTGTCCCAGTGTCAGATTCGGTACGTAATTCAGTTTTTCAGATATCAATGAGTTCCTTGGGTTTCGGTCTTTATAAGTTAGTTCGTTTTGTCAAGTTCAATTTTGTAATTCTTTGAAACTAATTGTTTCGATTAGTTCTTTGCACGGCTTGCAAGATTATAATGTCGTTATTAAATCTTTTACAATCATACCTATATGTTAGACCCGGCCTCCGCTCCAAAGGTAAAGTGTTAAGTCTGATGGCAGTCAGCGCCTTTTCTTATTCAATGTTCAGGTGAAATGATAATAGTTCCAGTACGGCTATCCTTAGCATAGGCTGCATAGGCGCCATACAAGGTTAGCCTTCAGCAACGTTGTAGCTTTTTAAAGGTCGAATCACCATTCTGTATAACCATAGAATGATTTTGTCCTGGAAAATGAATTTTTTTCGGTAAAAATGTTAAGTGAAAACTTCTTTAGGCACATTGTGCAAATTTGGAATGGGGAAAAAGCACTGAACTCGCGTGACCGTTACGTAATATTGATGAAAGTAATGTTAGAATAAAATTGATATGTAGGTATTTATAAATTTGTTTGTATTACATAGATAATAATCATTCTTTTTCATGCAAAACAGGGCAATAAATGAAAATTTTATGACTGTATTAATAATAATATAAAAATAATTTCTAATAAAAATACTCCTTAAAAATATATCTTAAAAACCCAAAAATAATGTTTACAAATTTGTGAAGCTAACGAGTTTTAACTAAAAGTTGCTTTATGTTTTATTTTTCAGAAAACAAAAACAAAAAGAAGTATTCAAAGAAGTTGAAGCTCTGGTGAATCGCGAAAAGATCAAAGAGTTGACTGTTAAGAAACCCAACGCAGCAACCAGCGGAACACAATTTGGACCTGCCCAACGTCCGGACAAACCATATGGTTCATGGACACCTGTTGTAAACGAGTATGACGCCTATTAATTTTCAACAATTATATGTATTTATATATATATATATATATATATATATATATATATATATATATATATATATATGCTTATATGTATAGGTGGAGAGAGATCATAAACAATAAACTTACTCTCCGTGATGGTGATCACGATCCTCGGTTATGAGGGACCGACTAGAGAGAGAGAGAGATATAACTTGTAAAGATGTAACTAGCCCTATATCCGTTATATGTTATAATGCTTTTTTTTGTCATGCTCAAATACATATACTGCGTGACTATTTTTACCGTCTGGAAAAAAAATATGGTGTTTTGCGTAAAACTAGTGAAAGAAAGTTGTAAGAGCGAGCGAGACGCATGCACAATTCTTTTGTCATGTAAGCGCCAGGTGGCCGAGTGAGGTCGGCCGACATATCGTTGCAGCCAAAATTTTTAGAATAAGCTAACGCGCGCCTTAGTTAACAAAATATTTTTCTCTTAAAGGTATAGTATAGGCTGGTATATCTCTTATAAGTATAAGATTTTGACCGCCTCATTTGTCTAGTGGTTTCCGGGTCGGGACAAAAAATTAATTTATTGAGAAATTATACGGATTTTATCGCGTTTAATTTTACTTTTAATTATATGTTCTTTTACGCGGTTTCTAATTGATCTTCTGGATTAACATATAGCTGAATATTGAATTGATTAACATATAGCTGATGTGAAGCATCAACATTCCGGGAAGTCTGCAGTTTGTGATCATATCTTAGACGACCCCAACCATTACATCAGATTTGATAGACCACAAATCCTCGCGAAAGAACTCCGATTCCTACCAAGGATGATACGTGAGGCTATTGAAATAAAAAAACATCCTAATTTCAATAGAGGGGGCTGGGTACCACCACCTGCTTGGGACCCTATAATCAATAAAATTAAAACTAAACCCAAGCATACCACTGCAAGAGCTCAGAACATAATCAGTTCATTTTGCATAGATCGGACCATAAACAATAATTAAAAAAGCTGAAGGTACTCCAAGTTTAACAATGACATCGGGACGTCAGTCACCTCAGTTCCCTGTGACCATGGGTGCTGGAAAGCACCCGAAACGTCAGGAATTAAAAATAAAAATAATTAAAAGTAGTTTTAATCAATAAGTTTGTGAAGCTAAAAGGCTTTCACTTCTGACTTTTTGTCATAAACCTTCGCAGGCGATAACACAACTACTCATCAAAGTTTCATTGTAAGTGGATGAACGCTATGAGATGGAACGCATATGGGACAAAATATAAATAAACATTTATTTTATTGTTGGACATTCATATAATTTCTTATTTTCATCGTTTTGATTATTTTGAATTGTTGTCAGGAAGATGCTGCTGTCATTACACGGCACTTAGTGCATTCCATCCATCGCATATCATCCACCTTGCGCCCGTCCGAACTGCTATCATCTCCCGGTAATATTGCGGGCGTCATCGCCTCCGTGGCGAGCACAAAAGTTACAGCCTATATACATCCCACTGCTGGGCACAGGCCTCCCCTCATTTCTGAGGGGTTTTCACGTCTTCGAAATGTTTTTTTTCTTATTCCTCACGATGTTTTCCTTCACCGTCGAGCACGTGGTAAATCAGCGCTTAAAATTGCAATTAACAATTTCATTGGTGCCGGCTGGGATCGAACCCGGGTTACTCGCATTCTGTTATATTTACAGCGAGCGTTAACCATCTGAGCTACCACGGCTCATTACCAGACAGTATACCAGAGCACAAAACTGTGGCATAAATATTGCTCCATAATTTCTCAGCCTAACTAGTATTTTCAAACGGATATACCGGTATTTACTGTAGCCGGCGCCTCGTTCATTAACCAGTCCGAATGGAATAGAATTATGTTTGAAAGTGCTAGTGCGAAGTTATACACATCGTCCTCAAGTGTGGACAGTTTAGGTAAATAGTTCAAGGTTCGTTGACTTTCGTTACACAGTTTGGATTACTATGTCCAACAGTGAATTTTTAAAAGTCCTTTTGACTACGAAATAAAAATTAATGATGTGAGTTTTGGTAGGAACTTGACCAGTGTTTGATTGTTGCTCCTGTTATATCTTTGAAATAATGGTTTGAACTGGATTTTAATACGAAAAGGTACCAAAGGCTAGCGCCTGATCAATAGTCGGTGTTTGACATGTGGAAACACCTAAATATTAAAACGGTAACGAAATTTAACACAAGTGTGTTTTTACTTTATTTCATGGGTACCTCGTTCAGGCCGCAGCGGCTTCAGAGGCGGCTGAACTGAAAGGGCTAATAATCTTACGCTCACCAGATGTCACTAGTTGCAACTGAGGTGAACTTATTTATCACATAGATGGTCACACAGTGCCATTATCATTGAAATATTACATTTTAAATAAAATTTGTTCAGTTTCTAGTGTACGTATATACACAAAACAATGCCTCGGTGCTGTGTTCTTTAATTTTTACACATTTTTAACTTTATTAATTCTTCTACTTTGAGGAATATCCGCATTAAGATTTAGCCTTTTCTAATATGAACATAAAATGTAAGTAATATTTCAGAAAGAAACATTAATCTCTGCACTTATCTAACTAATTAACGTAACCCGCTATGAAGTGTCAAATATTCTGATCTGTTAAATATTTCACCTTATTCTTAAGTGGCCCTGCCTTGGTGGCAGAAAAATGGTGACCCTCATTGTCCGGCGGGAGATCACCCTTTTCCTTTCCACAGCCAAAGCGTAAATAAAGAGTCTATGAGAGATGACTACATATTTGTGCCATTTACTGTAGAGACAGTTGGTCCTTGTCATCCAGGTGCGTTGAAGTACCTAAAAGATCTGTATCCGCGACTTGTTGCCGCTGGTGACAAGAAGACTAGTTCGTTTCTCGTTCAGAAGCTAAGAATATATGTCTTTCAGCAAGGAAACACAGCTAGCGTTATTTGCATTTTTATATAGTTGTCACTACAACCACTAGACCAACTGCCTCGTTGGTCTAGTGGTTGTAGTGGCGCGAATACTGATCATGAGGTCCTGGGTTCGAATCCCGGTTCGGGCGAAAAAATTAATTATTGAGTTTTTCCGTCAAGAAATTCTCAATAGCTGCCCGGAGTCAGGAAGTTGACGGTATATCACCCCGTGCTTCGGAAGGCACGTAAAGCCGTTGGTCCTGCGCCTGATCTCTCTCCGGTCGTGTCAGTTTACCGTCCCATCGGAATATAAGAGCGACGGAATAGAGAGTGCACCTGTGCTAGCGCGTACACTTGGGCACTATAATCCTGTCCTGCGCCGATGGCTAGTCTCCGTTGAGGTTGGCCGCCGTGACCGAAATTCGGTCTGGAGCACATTATTAGTATATGGTTATTTTAGTTTATTTATTATTTTATTAAACTTTGTATATTTTTATGTTATGTAAATAAAACGTATTTATTTTTTAATTATACTTAAACATGAGAATAACAAGTCAATCTAGAAGCAAGATTGTGACATTTAAAAAGTAAAATAAAACACTAATACTGTAATAATATGAATAAAAAGGTGCATAATTAGCATAAATATTACATTGAACATAAATGAAAGTCTAATATATTTTAATCACGAATTTGTGTCAACAGGCCCGAAGAAAATGTCGACCTTCAGCTGCCTAAGTGCGACAAAGAGCTTCCTCCGCCTCCAATAGTTGTACAGCCAGAAGTAATTCAGTTCAAGGAGAAACGCGTCGAGTCTTTAGGCGATGGCCCTGTTGTGTTCAAGAAGCGAAAATTTAATAATCCAAAACGAAATATGCGACAGAAACTAGACGATGAATAAATCTCTTTTGTAAATCATTATTTTGTTTTATTATTAGGTATTTATACAAATACTATGTAATACTTCATATACAAATTGCAGTGTTCACAATTTTAATTCCCGCTTCTCGGGATTAAGGGCGATTTATGTAGGACTCACATCGACTAAAATCCCATGTTGTTTTGTTCTAATGACAACAAATCGGTAAAGACTCGCCGACTGCCTGGTTGTACGATGGTGGAAAGGAGAAGGCGAAATTAGTCACACTCACCCAATATGCATCCCATAGAATACTGAGAGGCTGGCTACTATACGACTGTGCTCGAGGCTGACTACAGTGGTTTCAATCAAATCAAGGTTAGCAATGAGTTCTTTAGCACGTCTCTTCACTGAGTCCATCGCTGTTAGGATGTGGTATTTTGCAACGCCAGCCCATATGTGACAGCAATACTGCATGCACGATCGGACTTGCGCTTTATATAAGATAAGAAGCTGCACCGGCGTGAAGTACTGCCGCCCCCTTGCAAGGACACCTAGTTTCCTTGCGGCTGATTTGGCCTTGGACTCAATGATCCGCTCATGGTTGAGGTTTGGGGAAAATTCAACTCCTAAGATATAAAACCGGTTAGTATACTTCAAGGATACATTCCGGAAAGTAGGAGCCCGGGTGGCGGGCTCTTTTTTACGGTGAAAAAACACGCTTGTGTTTTGGAGGCGTTGAATCTCACGAAATTTTCATCGCACCATTCGGAGACTGCCTACAGTGAGAGATTAGTACGCCCAACAATAGCTTCTCTTTCGGACTGGATTTGATCCCCTCTGGCCCGAGCATTTCGCCGGTACCTCTCCACAACTGTGCTGTCATCTACATACCCGTAGATACCGGGAATAGGCAGACTATTAATATGCAGCAGGACAATAGTTGTGAAGTGAACGGACCCTTGACTACTAACGGCTTGGTCCAGCTCCTGCTCGGTCACCCTATCTCATCCAGCCACTCACATGACCATAGTGGGTGACCTGAGGGTCTTGCTTGGTCCTCTGGTAAGAGCGTACTTATCACCCTTTCCAATAGATCTGGAGCGAGAGTCTCCGTCAAGAGAGCGACCAGGGCCGTAATTTACCCAGCACCATTTTGTATGGATCTTAGTTGAGTCCCTCTTTGTAATGCCTTTGTAGCCGCTCGGTATATCCAATAGAGCCTGGCTATCTCCTCAGTTGGAGCTCGCCTTCTTCTTTTTCGGGCTTTGGTTTTTTGGCGCCAACTCCGTAAGTTGATCGGAGCCGTGCGATATCAGTCCACCCTGCACTTGGGGCAGTTGGTTCTGGATATCGACACGTCACATATATACGTCATCGTGCCCCGAAACCATTTTCTTTTTTTTTTTCTTCCCTTCCCGGATCGAAATGAACCTCTTCAGCGTTTTCTGGCCAGGTCGCAACGATAGCGGCGGATTCGAGTTTGTCGCGATCGAGCCGCTTGAGACATCACGGCCGCGGTGGGTTGTTTGATATCGCACTTTGCCTGCCCGACAGTACCCCCCGGCATCGATGTTACGTAGCATAGAGGTCGCGGGGACGCCCGAATTCCCCTGGAAATCGTCACCAAGCCCTCTTCAGTCGGCAACCGGCATGGTGGAGCCATTCTGCCATCCCAGGATTTTTAGATAGCGGGGCAGCCTTCCATGAGTAGCTATGGCTCATTAATTGGGCCTCCAACTGTCTACAATCGGCCAGCGCAGCGGTGCAACCATTATTCGGATCCCGCTAACCTCCACTACCATGTTAGTGACACTAAGAAATGGCCTCGCCACAACTGGTTCTTTTTTGCAACGCAACTGTCAAGACCCATTCTTCCAAAAAAATAGGTTTCAGCTAACGTTATACCGGAACACGACTTGCGTCATTTGGCGGCACGTCTTTGCCAGGTGGGGTAACTAATCCTCGGCCGAGCCTCTTACAATTAGAAGATTAACCTACCATCAGTATGAGGTGCTGCTCGTCTAGCACTACCCAGGGGACACGTGTAGGGAGTCAGGATTCAAGTAATTCCTACGGACGCGAGCAGCTTCATCCCCCAAAATTTATATTTTCTTATATTCAGTTAAAGCACGCCGGAACACAGCCCCGCCTGCATGTACGACGTCGTTCTCCACCTGGGCAACAGACTCCACCAAGTCCGTTGCGCCCCGGGCTGCAGATATTAGGCAGCGCCATTATGAGAATGAAAGTTGGCTTTATTCTTTAAATGACGCAAGTAAAAAATATCAAAATGTCTGAAAATGGTATTGATTAGGTGATTTTGTTTAAAATATTACGAATAAGAAAAAGTACCCACTGCACAACAAAGACCTCCCCATAGACTGCCTCATAGAGGGACGTTTGCTAAAGCTGTCTAGCTTGTCTTGGCAGTCAATTTTTTTTATTATCTTTAGAAAGATGCTGATCTACATCTCCTGTTTCTTTTCCCTCTCTTGCCTCTTACGGCACCCACGAGATTGTGGAGCAGTGGATTCTGTTGTCTATATAATATGTTAGGTACATTAAGTGAAGAGGAGTGTGATGTACGTAATTATGTATTAATTAATATACAGTGGTAAGATTTCTTTTGTTACGTTTTAGTTAGTCTGTAATAAACGCTTTTAATTTTATTAATAAGGGTGACTTGCGAGAACACAGTCCACAAGATGGTGAGTGGATGCTGTGGCCCATAGACTTCTACATCTGTCCGCGATTATTAATCAAAATGCATTTACGTTGTTACCCCTGAGGACTAGGATGGAATGCCCCGTTTCTTGTAAAATTGGTCTCTGGTTCTATACTCTCACTGTACGAAACACATCAGAATTATTTCGCTGTTTCGCGCTGGTATTCCGTGAAAGCGTGGTCCTACGCTGGTTGAGCGACCCTTTAGTGCTGCAGCCATAGTTACAGGTACAGCTTGGCTCTACTATATTTAGTGAAATACCACGACGAGTGTTTTATTTCTCGGAACTTCTGTATTTTGAGACGATAGAGAGATTTTTAAGATGAACTTTTCTTTTACGAGTACTTAAATATTCGGGGCGTCTAACCACTCAACATTGAGTTATCAATTCGTTTTATTTCTCGGAACTTCTGTATCGTGAGACGTTTTGCCTACATAATTTTGCATTGTCCGTGAACAAAGCCATACGAAAACATACTTGTTTCGGGCAGAAATCGAATCTGCAGCCCACAACACCGCAGCCAAAAGCTGAGGTAGTTTTCAATAAAGTATTTATATTATTTTTTAAATTGCTGAATTATTGGCTTAGATCCGCTATAAATGGCGCGAATTACATAGTTTGAAGAGCCCTTCCCTCTTTACTTGGAGAACACTCCATTGAGATAATACAACTCGAGTTTCGGCACGAAACGAAACATCACAGGATTAATTAGTGGTTGATTTTTGTTTAAGATGAACTTTTTATTTGTTACTTAAATGTTCAGGGCGTCTGATCACTCAACATTAAGTTAGAAATTCCTGGATTTAAATCCCAGGAATTACAAATAGTTGTTTTTTTTTGCGCCCGAAGCAAATATGGGCAACCCTCCGGAAAACGGGGGAGGGAGGTGGGGAATGCTCATAGCATACCACGCAGCCGGCTGCGTGGTTATGTGGAGACTTTTACCCACTAAACCCCACCTTTTAGGGACTGGCTTAACGGTCTAACTAGAGATCTCTAAGCCGTATACGAACGCGACCCTCCTTGGCAGAAAGGAGGGCGCAAGCGGCGAAAAGCCGCTTTGACGAGTGCCTAACTAAGGCAGATTAAGGGATGTGTTATGTAGGCTCGGCCAGAGCCGCCAGGAGGCAGTTTAGGTCAGCCGAAAGCTTGTTGGGGGGGTCCGAGAGAGAGTTTCTCGGTTTGCGCACACTATAGCGAGTGTGGATAGGGGCTGCATAGGCAGCTGTCTCACGAATGAGATGATTTGGGTGGGACTCTGAGGCTTTGAAAAATCTCTCAGAGAGTGATTTAAGGAACTGCTGGATTGTTGGGAGCTCTAAGTCTCGGTGTAGGTCGGCATTACGGACATAATAGGGCGAGTTAGTGGCCCTACGACAGAATAGATTTTGAACTATTTGAAGTTCATTTATAGCTTTGGGCTTAGCATGTGCGAAAATGGGGGCCGCGTAGGTCATGACAGGTCGTATGCAGACCTTATATAGGGTTCGCTTGTTGCGGAGGGACATTTTACTATGTCTGCCCAACATGCGTTGAGCCTACCCACGTAAAATCGTGCGGTGCGAGTAAGCTTCTTGATATGGGGTTCGAAAGTGAGCCTTGCATCAAGGGTGACGCCTAAATATTTGGCTGTAGTTTGCTATGGGACAGGGGTTCCTAACATCCTGATTGGCGGAGTGGTGGTGAGACGGCGTCGTTTATATTCGAAGCAAACGGCGGAGCTCTTCTCCGGGTTTACGTCGATGCGCCATTTTTGGAACCAAGCTCCTAAGTCGCTTACTGACTTTTGGATCTTGTTTCGAATCTGTGGCAGTGAGTTGCCTTTAGAGTAAAGGGCTATGTCATCTGCGAAGAGGGATGGTTTAACACCGTTCGACGGGATAGGGATGTCGTTGGTGAATAGTATATATAGGAGGGGGGCAAGCACAGAGCCTTGAGGGACACCGGCTTTGATTTGACGAGTAGAGGATAGCGTGCCTTCGTGTCTAAAGCGAAAGGTACGATCCTTCAGATAGGAGGCTACAAGGCGAACGAGACGGTCTGGGAGGCCTAAGTCGTACAATTTGTAGATAAGGCCCTCGTGCCAGACTCTGTCGAATGCCTTGGCAATGTCGAAGAAGACCGCGATGGTTTTTTGACGACGGGGATAAAAACCGCTGAGGATATATTCCACTATGCGGTGAACTTGCTAGGGCCACGAGTGTTTGGCTCGAAACCCGAATTGTTGTGGAATGACAAGAGGGTCGCCGTCTGTGGGAAACAAATGTGCGCCTCATGCGCACGAGAATGACTCGTTCGAAAAGTTTGCCCATG